GATCAGTTCCCACATCCTCCATCTCAGCATTGAAGCGAGCAGGCCGTCCTTACAGAATCACCAGCGGACACTGCAATCGTCACAACAGTGCCAGGCATGGGCGAAACCACCATCATGCTCGTGTCGGCCTTCGCCTTCTTGGGCATCAGCTTGGACAGCTCGTACTCACGAGGTGTCAGGAAGACCACATCGTACTGCAAGTAAAACCGCCGAAACAAAAAACCCCAAGCAATGCCAACCGCAGCGAAAGCAAGAAAAAAAAAAAGAGCCAAAGAGACAAACAATCCATGTCAGCAAACCGACCCGACGTGAACAAAAGAAATCCACAAAACAGAACGCAAACTCTCACCACGCCGCCCAAATAGCCAATCTTGAAGCCGCCGGGGATGGAGCCAAGGTTCTGGATGGTGACGACATCAGAAATGTGATCGTGCGAGTCTTCAAACTCGACATCCTCGGAAGCCGCAGCCGTTTCGTCGACAAGCTCTTCGTCCTCGTGCTCACAAGGTTCCTCCACAATAAAGTGGCGGACACGGATATGGTTGGTGGGTGCTTCGCTGTCTTCAGAGACTGCGAGTTTCGAGCCATCCTCAAACTCAACCTGACTCGAGATACAGGAGCACATTCAACAGTGAGCGAAATTCAAGCACCCCAAACAACAACCAAACAAAACAAAGCAACAAATCCACCCCCCCTCTAAACAACCGTATTGCATGACCATACCTGAGACATTCCTTCAACGGACGAAAGGATGATGCGATGTGGGGCGCCATCGAGCAAAACCACGTACTCTTGCGCCTCAACTCCAGAGGCGACCTCGGAGACGACATCTTGACGAGCAACCTTGCTTTGGAACGACACATTGTCGACAAGCTCGGTCGCCTTGAGAGCAGCGGCCGTGCTAAGGAGATGATGAAGCTGCAAATCCTTCAGTTCTCGCTTGGCAAAGCCCGTGGGGTACTCTTCTTGGATGAACTTGGTCGAGATGTCGCCAGAGATGAAGCGAGGATGGTCGATCATGTCGCGCAGAATAGGAATGTTGTGCGTGACACCACGAATGACGTAGCTGTCAAGAGCTTCGCGCATCGTCTGCAGCGCCGACTGACGGTCCGGGCCGTAGGTGATCAACTTGCAGATCATGGGATCGTAGTAGATGCTGATGTTGCTGCCTTCCACAATGCCACTGTCGCAGCGAACAAG